GTGACAGACATGGTTCGAATCTCGTCTGGCGCAAAAGTTTCGCCCATAAGTCAGCATTCTTGTTGGGAATTCCAAAAATGTTTAAAGCGTTACAACTATCCGGAGGTCGAGTAGTAGAAGTTTTGAGCAGTTGCGAGTTCCAAGATATCGTGTGAGAAAGAGTTAGTGATAACTCTGTGAGCACATTTCCTATTTATAGCAGTTGAGGTTTTGAAAAAAAGACATGAGCAGCCAAACAATGGCAAGAGTAAATGGGTATATTCGGAGAAGATTAATCCTTTTTTTGAGACGCGCCATGAACTTCACTCACGCAAAGTTGCACTGGCATCGAATGCGATTTCTTGATACCTAACAGTTTGGAAGACCAACTGATATGTAAAAACTGTGGGCTCTATCGCAAGATATGTGGGCATTCTGGTGGGAGTGCATTTCAAACTTTTTTTGTCAAAAACAGTACTAAGCCTTCAGGTGGAGGAGGAGAGACTCCAGATTGCGTGATAAATTTTTTAAATTCCCCGCTATGCTGCCACCTCCTGGGCCTAGTCCTATATGACCCCCGTATCTTGCGATGGCGTTCTACATATTTTTCGTTTTCCAAGACGAGTTTGTAGCAATAAACCGATCGAGGATGACGAGAAGGTCATGAGGAAATTGAGTCCAGGATTTGATCACTGTACATGCAATTGGTGGGTAGATTTACCTGCAATTCCCAACAAGGATAACAAAGTGAAATTCGGTACAACGAGTTTGGAAATGCTCCCCAAGACCGACTGTTCCAGTGAAATGCACGTGGGAGGAGTAGCTTTGAAAAGCAGCTCTATTCCTTCATCTGCAACACTGAATACGATAATCTTTACTAAACTCTGACCGGCTTTTTCCGCTGCAGATTAAACAGGACTCTTCATAGTACCTCACATCTTCATGATAGCCTTCTGCATAAACGAAATTAGAAGATTTTATCAGACGCCGGCTGATTGGTCCTTGAGACAGCAGTGCTCTGGGTTCACGGGTCATGGCAACGCCGTTCGTACTGCGATGCAGGGATTTTGTATAGGTAGACTACACGGCTCTTGGGAGATTGAACCTGAACCAGGCAATTTTTGGAACATTTGGCCGAACAACCGTACACCTTTTTCTGTGAGAGTGCCAGAACGCAGAGTAGCTTCACACCTCCTCCTCCCTCGCTCTCCCCTGTAGGTATATGCTTTTAGTGACGATTTCAATGTGTCAAGGTTGGCAGTCAACTAATCTACCTGCCCCCTCCCGCTTTCTGAGGCATTCTGCTGAAAGCCAACGTTGTTTCCAACACTGGCCGATGTCAGACTTTGCGATTGGAGCGATTTTGCACCAATTGCAGGAGCGACGGATCGCTCAAGCGATGCGAGCGACGGGAGATTTACCCGAGCGGCGCCGTGTGTATCGGTATTCGGCGGGGTAAATCTCCCGTCGCTCGCATCGCTCAAGCGATCCGTCGCTCCTGCAATTGGTGCAAAATCGCTCCAATCGCAAAGTCTGACATCGGCCACTCGAACAACAACATCAACCAAACCCACCAACTCAGCCTGCCTCTTAGGCCATGAGTTAGCCATCGTCAATTTCGAATTTTTGCGGACCTATTTCCTAAAACCCTTTCACATACGACCATGGCAGTGTCAGTGGTTTCAGTTAGGCCTTTGAGCTTGCCAACTGCTGAGCCACTTCAACACCACTCCTGAAAGTTCTACAAAGTTGCCGTCTGGAGAGAGGTATAAGTGTCACTGATTTTCTCACAACAACGTGCTCTCCAGAAGAACCCCATACGGACCACCTATCAAACAGAACTACTATGTATCGGCTGTTGTGGGATAATCTCAGCTAGACGGTTGACCCTGGACGAGGCAGGTTGATGGTATGTCGGTCGAGAAACGAACCCAAGCCGCGGGCATAGCGAGCAAGCCTTTTGCTATTGATTCTCCGCGGTACACGATTCACGGTAACAGGGACGGCAATGTCATGTAAAAATGGTTGGACACACCCATACCCTTGGCAAAAATACCAACTTCGAGATAGAGGTCGACGGACTACTTGAACTCAGCCCTTTAAACCGCCTCTGCGCTCTCTCGCGGGTCCCTCTCCTCTCCAAGGCTTAGTCCTAGGGCATTCACCCGTTCTCTAATCGTCTGTGCTCTAGCCATCGCGGCAGGACCATTGAGGAAAAATCAAGTAGTCCGTAAACCGAGATAGAGCAGCCGTGATGTTACGGTGACTGCCGCAAGTCTGCGAATGCACAGAGCCACAATCGTTTGAATATTTGTTGGGTCTTAATTTGTTTTATTGTATTGTGGTGATTGAACTTGCTTTTTTCTTTTTCAAGGTGCCTATATGATTCAATTTGTAGCAATTTTGGGTGCTATACAAGTAGGGTGGGTACGACGCATTTTTTGAACACAGAATTTATATAAAAATGAACGAGAATCGGGAAATTCGTGAGCCAAGGGAGTGTAGCCAAATCCAGGGGTGGACGGGCAGTCATTTGACATTCTGAAAAGCTGGACGTGCTCCCACCCTACTTGTATAGAGCCCAATTCTGTCCCAATATCTTTTTACAAGTTCTGAACATGAACATAGCTTTTTAGAATGTCTCTGTTGGAATTTCCTCCATTGAATTCTACGGGGAAACCATATGTGCTGCAAGAGATACAACGGTCGTTTATTGACTGGAAGTAATCGAGGCAATATCCGTAGGAATGGCAAAATGTATTCGGTAGTTCTTTGAACGTTCAAAGATTTCCGGGGTATACAATGTCGCCGGCCATCCTGCAATTCCTTTTTGCTTCTGAAAAGTGTTCTTCAGATTCAGCCCTTTGGCTGTGCATCAGGCTGAGGAGTTTTCTGTCTCAATTAAAATGCCATCAGTTTTTCGGAACTTTGTGATTTGGGTGTCATATTGGTTGTGCACCATCATGAAGCCTCTATGTTTTAATGTCCAAACTCCATATCTGGATAGGAAATCTCCAAAGTGATAGCTGTCGCTACAATGCTTTTTGACGTTACCGACCGGTGTCGTGAACGTGTGGTGTCTAGAATATGCTTTCTGGATACCTACACTCTCCCCATTATGTGACCTAGAGCATGGATCAAAGCGGGAATACGTTATAATCCCGCAATACAGTAGGGATCGTGGCTGAATACAGATCGAAGTTATTGGGCTTTTTTCCAATAGTTCACAGGTGTAATTTTGTGGTGAACAAATTTGTTAAGATTATTCAGAAACATTCAATACATTTATACCGTGCATGAATAGTTTTGACCTTCAAAGAACATGGATTCTCTTGAATTTCAGAATTTTGGCTTCTGTACGAAGCATTACTCCTAGGTAAAGTGTAATCCGTCTGAGTAACCATTCAGATAGTCATGAACGGGCCTGCCTTGAATGTTGTTATACTCATTGTTTTTCTTTTGCAGATGTCTGAGTACCCTTTTGTCGAAAGAGCTCATCTCAACAGCCTTCAACATTCTATATCTAAAAGCGATGTTGCTGATACGTATGTATTTCGGGAAGCTGATCGTCTAAAGCAGGCTATGGATCGATGGTACTTTGTGTTCGCTTTAATAGCTTGGTTTGTCTTAACTTCTCACTGTCATTTAGGGAGAAGGATGGTATAACCGGTGTTATCGACCATGTAGCAAACATCACCGAAGACAGCAAGCTGTGGCCAATTTCTAGACTTGGTAAGTTGGATGGCTTTTAAATTTTGCACGAATTTTATCCTAAAAATATAGCTCTTCATAACGAGTGGTGGGAAAATTTCTACTGCGATTGGGGGAGAAACCACAGGAACAGCGAGTGAGGTTAAATACACGGCCAGAAAGCCACTGTCAGATGAAGTTCTGACCTTTTCACAAAAGAGGGACAGCATTTGGAGAGATGTTAGGTCGTTAATTTCATAGCAGTCCTACCTTCTGTTTCTCTATTTGATGCTCTAGTTTCATGCTTGTAAGAGGAAGGAAAGACAGAAATGATTTTGAAAAAAGTGGGGAGGGAGGAGGATGGTATTGTATTCCTCATGGTGAGGTTTGGCCCTGAATAGGGGGATAGGGCTGTTATTCCTTCGGCGCACTCCTGTGACATTCTGGCAAACGTTTGGGAGCTCAGGTTCATAGCCTAATTGTCTTTTGATAGTAACGGCGTAGTATGCCGCAGACAGAGCAAAATACAGTAAATTCTAGGCAGAGGAGTATTGCGAGTACGAAACGGACTTGCTAGCGTAGCAGCTCGAGTTCTTCCATCCATGGGACAGGATCGCATTGAGGAGCTGCTACACCAATACAGTACTACTATGAATTGGTAACACCTCTTGCTTGATAAATTATTCGTGTATATTTTGGGTCCACTAGGACAGAAAACGACTTTTTCGTCTTTCGCAACGCGAGACATTTTCGCTGCAGAACCTCTGGACTACTGCTGATCATCCATCAGTGGACTCGAGGTTCCCACAGTGAAAAACGTTTCTGGGAACGCGAAAAAGTCGCTTGCTCTATCCAGTGAACAAACCCGCATATTTGGTTTGGTTGGTAATTAACGATGATTCTTTTCTGCACAAAAAGAATCACTGTCGCTGTGCAACATTGTCAATTGCACCAGAACCTTGCTTTTTTCAGGAAAAATAATTGGCTAGGGCGGTGTGTGGCTGTGCACCTGACGCATAGACGGCCGTCTGCTCTGTGGCAGAATCAACAACTACATCTGGGTCTACAATATCGGTCCAAGTCAAACACCCGTACATTGAAGCACGGATGCCTTTGCAGAACAACGTTGCATGTATGGCTTGGGAGTAAGTTATTTCGTTACCTACAAATTTTCTTGTGTTTGTGTACTGACTCCTTCCCGCGAAGGTGTACTGAACATGGAGAAAGGAAGGGTAATCACGAAAAGAGGAGACTTGCCTCAAACAAAGTATCTTTCTTTTAAAAATTTGTTCCACAGCTCTAATCTTTCTAGAGGATCATGTGGGAACATTTCTGAAGAAATAGTAATTCTACAGTGTGTTGAAGATTGAAAGTTCGCGTCCGCATAAGCATCACCTCACAGCGTTTGAGAATTTCGAACAGCGGGGATATCAATACGGCACATTTGTATTTCTCCGCCCCTCCTCCATTTCGTGGGAAAGGAAGGGTACAGTTTCGCTGCGCAAAAGGGAACAGTGGGCATTTTACTTTAAATTGACAGACAAGAGGTGGGTTTCCTGTTTTGAATACGTGGCGCTCTGCAGTGAAATCTATTGCTCTCTAATCCGCTCACCATTCGAATAAATCCTCCATTGTTGAGTTGTTGCAATATAGTCATCGCTCTTTGTGCTCACTATTACTTCTCAACTTCTCAGACCATTCGACCAACGCGTGCTTGCTGTTGCTGCAAACAACAAAATTCTTATCTGGAGGCTTAGTGTGAAGGCCACAAACATCAAGTAAGTGCTTTTGCGTTTGGGGAAAGTTACAGCAGTGAATGTATATAAGAACAGAGAACAGAAAGATTTGTTGGGCAGAGCCCCAATCGTCTGACTCTTTGAATTGGCAATGGCCAAATGACCGTTATATTTTCGTTGGATAAACGAAAATTCAAGATAAAATTTTTCAAAACATCGCGAACAAGCTGGCAGTTTTGGCAGAGGAGGAATTTGCTAACGCTTTATTTAGTTCTGTTTTTGTATCCATCATCCGCATATTACCACATATTTTTTAAATGCTTCCTGCAGTTTTATCTTGATGTCTTTATTAGGCCATCCGTCCGTTGCGCTCAAGTAATTGAGCTACCAGCCGCGCCTATTAGTCAAATTGTCTGGGATCGTACAACAACGAATGTTTTGCTGGCCGTGTCACCCAATAGCAACAAAATAATGGTAAGCAAACATGGCATCAGTGCTACTTTTTGTGCGGTTTCGGTGAACTCTATTGACCGTTGTCCTAGATCGTTGACATTTCTACTGGTGAGGTGGATTGCTTTGGTGCATGGACTGGTGGTAATGTCACAAGAATCGTACCAACAAATGATGGTCGGCGACTGGCTGTTCTTTACACAGGAAATGTTATAAGGTATACCAATCATATTGAATCTTCTTATCTTTTCATGTCAGACAGCACCCAGGTTAAAACTACAACTCTAGAGTTTACGACCGTAGCACGTGGCGTGAGGAGCGGTGGAGTGGCCTGGCAGGTCGAGCAGTTAGCGCTGTCTGGTCGCCATCAGGAGATTCCTTAGTGTTCTCCTCAGAGGACAGCTATCAGATCTATGCGATTTCATTTGTGGCAAAGAATGAAATCAACGAAGACGGAATCTCTGAAGCGTAGGTTTTATTAAGCTGCTTCCGCATTCTAGTGCAATTTTTGTATTTTGTCTCACAAGCTGTTCATTGTAATTACTGGTGTAATTCATCTTTGTGGTGAGTTCAACATGAAAAGCTGTTATGCTCTAACTTTTCGCTTTCCGCCAAGCTTTTGTAGTCACAAAACTCCTGCATGGAACATGAACAGATATCAGTTTTTTGAACCCCATTTCTTCCCACATTTCTATGCACTCACCACTGCATTTGGGAGAAATTGCTTTGACAAAGTGCTTCGCGTGCTGAGTGTCTTTCTTGGACTAGGTAACATCTGAATGTAATTTTCTATTAGTCTTGAGCGTCTACCGGTTTTTTGTCGTAAAGTAATATTTGGGTTTTTGCTACTGGGGAATGTGCTGATATAGAATGAAAGCTATCAAAGGGAACAGCTAATCCACTGGCATAGAAAGGCGCAAAAACGCTAGAAAAAAAGCACTGCAATGCTTTCTATGTTTCTTACAGTTTTATCATAATTTCGAATCTAGATTCGCAGCATAGCACTTTGTTAATTTTCTTTGTTTTGTAATGAGTTTTTAAACTTTATAAAAAAAATTGAGAAGGTGTATCCTTAAGACATAAGAGTCATTTTTGAATAATTATTCTTATTTATAGGGCGGAAGTGGTGTAGTGACAAGTGGCGCGCTTACCACGCGAGCGGTCCGGGGATCAAATCCTGGGTCGTGAGTCGCCCGGGCCAACCAAGCCTTCCATCCCTCCGGGGTCGGTTAATTGGTACCAGACTTGTCTGGGAGGATAAAAACACTGACTTGAACATCGGCTGGCCCCCGCAAGTCATTGTATAGGCCACATCGCATTCAAACGCCACTGCGAATGTACAAATGGAAGTAGAATGCGTGCCGCATCCCAAAAAGGGATTGATCAACGGCAAATGCTTTATCCTTTATCCTTTATTTAAAGTGGCGGCGCTACTTGTGGCGTTTTACAAAATCGATGTGTCACGCGTGGCAGTGTTGACCATCAAGCTTGAGGTAGATGGAGCTGTCGAAAGGTATTTCTGAACTTTTTCACGAATCTTACTTTTTATATGGCGTTGTGTTTTTTCTCTCACTACCACGGTTCCGATTGCACTCTCTACTAATTTTTTTGCCCTAACTTTTTTCCTTTGTGTAGATCTACTTTTAGAGAAATTGTTACATTGGTGGAAAGATTCATAATTTGACGTTGAGCCCTGATGGACCAAAGATTGGCAGTCAGTTTCAAAGGTATTTTTTATATGATAGATTATTGTCTTTCTCATCGTAACCATGGGACGTATTTTATTTTTTCTCTTCTGACTCAAAGCACGAGCTGCAAGCGCCGGCATCCCAGTAGCGCCGAGGACACCACACATTGGATCAACCAATAAAGTGTTTGTGTGTTTCTAAATATACGAAGATAACAGTGCTGCTGAATGTGGCTAAAACGCGAACACAGTCATCTAGCAACAAGTGTATGATCTAAGCGTCTGTGCCGTGCCACCATTAAGCACTCTTTAGACGGACATGATATTCGAGTTCTGCGGCTCGGACGACCCCTACACGACAAGAGGATTTGGGGGATGTAAAGTTTGAAGACAGCGTCGGAAATTTTTCATAATAATCTGGTATATAATGGATAATGGTAATAGTTAGCTGGTATAATGGTTGCAATCTTCATTTTAAATTTACATTACTAGGTTTTCCCACATTCTCTCGTTTTAATTGTGTTTCATGTTGTAATACGATTTTGTGCTTATAGAAAATCCGCCTGTTGTGGCTTTGTTCATTGTGGACTGGTTACCCACTGTAAGATTTATCCCAAGGTGAGAGATACATTTTCGGTTTTCGGTTAAGGAAATGATGTCAATTCATCTGTAGCTGAAAATCTAAGAGTTTTCAGCGGTCTGGTGGAAGCGCCCTTATATGGACATCCGTCTATACTATTTTTCCTGCCAAAGTTCAGCAACGGATCCTTGCTCGCCATTGTGAGTTTCGTAATAACTTTCCGTGGTGTTTTGTAGACCTTTTGCATGACACATTGCTTGCAGGTATGGTCTTCTGGAAGTCTGCAGTATTTACCTATGCTTTATGGTTGTAACACATCACAGTTCAATTCGAGGTCGATCCTTGACGAAATAAGTGGTCATTCAAGTCCAGGTTAGATCTGCTTTTGAATGTTGCAGACCCGATTTCAATGGGTTTTTCTCGATTCGCGAAGAGTCCATGGATCAGATAGTTTCTTCTTCACTTCGTTCGTTTTTAACCCATAACGGACGGCCAGTGTATTCTTCGCGTGCTCCACCATGTGGCACACGCCGTCCGTTATGGGTTAAACTCATTACAGTAAATTGTCTTACTCTTAACCTCGATTTTTAGGGCATAGGACCACTAGTGACTCATTGCGTTCGTCTGAATTGCCGAGTGGGTGCAGGGATCGTTCACCAAATGAAGAGATCGTTTTGTTTTCGGAACGGTTCCGAACAAGTAGATCTACTGAGTCGCAGCGAAATTAAATGCATTACAATTTGATATAATCTTCCAGCATTT